TATCTTCTTATATTTCACCTTTATGATTGTTAATTTTGGATACTTAACAATTAGGAGTGTGCCTGACCACACCTGCGAGGGCATGGTCAGGATGGCATAGAGTGAGAGTTTCAGGTGGCTGGGTTTTGCTTTTGGTTTCACCTTTTCGGCTTGCTGTACAGACTGCTGCCACACCAGCTGGCTAGGTCCCTCTGTAAGTAAGGCTTTTCCCTATTAAATACTGTCATATTTCTACCTGACTCCGTATTGGTAATTTCCCACTTTATCTGGTTGTCAGAAGCAGGATATTGGAAACCTACACCCCCTTTGGGACAGGCTGTGGGTTCCACCAGGCCTGAGGCCTAGGTCAGGAAAGCTCCACAGGTGTGCCCGGCCCCCAGCCAACCCGCTGCACCACACAAGAGCATTCCCATTGCAGCTGAGATACTCAGAACCATCCACCCAGCTTGGAGACAGTTTCTAGCTGCCTAGAGTTGAGTAGGCCTCAGCCTTCAGCAGCAGCTTCCCCTGGCCGCGGCTCTTTTAGTGGTTGCGGCCGCAAGACTATATATTCTCTAAGATATATAGACCGCTTTTGTGACCTCTCTCCACTGCTGCCACTGACCGCTGCCAAACACCGCACTGAGTAGCTGAATGCCTGGGCCACCTGCTGGTCAAAGATAGTTACTGCATCTGGAGTAAAAATCAGATAAAATTATCGCGGAATATTTATCATTTGCTAAAATTGGTAATATTTTTGCTTACTACGTGAATTCAGTGTTTAAGTAGGATGCTAACTTGCCAATTACAGGCCTATATGCCATAATGGCAGTTAGCTTGCTGGTACAAATAATATTACTAGCTAGAGGACTCAGGAATAGGGATAAAGATAACCTAACCACCTACTTACAGAAAATAACAGCTTTACACAATGAGGTTTTGGAGAACAGATTAGGTCAGATCACAATTGTGCGGCAAGTGGAACAGAAATTTGATGATAAGGTTGGCTCTGTGTCCAAAACACTAAAGACAGAGCTGTCTGTTACCCAAGATGAGATGCAGCATATTTATGACAAGATAAACACAGAGAGATCCTCCATGTCTGGGGCCTTAGAGGCTAGGCTATCAGAAGACCGTGATGAGATAAAGAATATCTGTAGCCAGCTAAAAACTCAGGTAGGCAATGTTACCCAGAAACTAGATGCAAAGGTGCAAAATACCCAGGATAGGGTTGAAGAATTGGACAATGCCATTCAATCAATTATTGAAGCATCTAAGGTAGCAGATCACAAATTTGAGTCTAGATTTGAATGTTTGGAAGATAATTTACAGTACAGGGCTGACAGATTACATAGGTCCATATGGTCAATTGCTGAGGACTCAAAATCAGCAAATCATGACCTCGAATCTAGACTCCAAAACCTAGAAGGCAGTTTCCATACCATCCAGATGCTGCCTAAGGACGACAGTATTAAAGACCTAGAAAAACGTGTAGGGGAGCAGTTAGAGCAATTTAAAGATTCACTAACATGCTTGGAATCTTTTATGTTTAAGGAGATTGAAACTTTTCATAAGGATATCATTACTAGGCTTAAAGATCATTGGGAGGCCTCAGAGGCAGAATCACTCCAATCTGAGGCACCTACTCCACCCAGGTATCATGACTATTCTTCTAAGGTTGTTACTTGTACACCATTAGTGTACCCAGGGCCGTTTCCTGCATTCTCCATTACAATAATGGTGCCTGAAGACACCAAGATGTAAATTACTTCACAGGCGCTGGGTAATCTCCATTCCTTTGATCTCTGCCTATCCCGTGGCTCATTTGGCCTGAGGAGCTGAAGCCATTCATAGGGTAACACGTCCCAGGCGGCTGCTTGCCAGCCTTTATTAGGGATGGGTTTCTTGGTTCAGAGTCTCCGCTCTGGTAAGCTTATGCTCTCCCCAACTCTCAAGATGCATTAAAGCTTGTCTGCAGAAGGATCCGAGTGTCCTGCGTGTGATTTCTTGCCGGCGAGAACATACAGTGCGCGGGACACGGAATGTATCTCCTCATGCAGGTATGTCATCTGAAAATATGTTAACATACTGAGAGATGTGGAGTTTTTCTAATTGTTGTTGTAGATGTGGCTATTTTATTTTTAGCTTTAACCTTGAAAAGAGACATGCTAAAATGATCCAGCAAGGCTCTTACCTGTCTATGATGCCACAGGAGTCTATCTGGAGATCTCTGAAGGCCCCCAGCACTCCCTGCTGTACTGCATTAGGATCCACTACTTTGTCACCAATAGAAATGAGTCCCAGGCATCCCTGGAAGCCTCCAAAAGAACTTTCACACCCAAAGCTAGAGCTCTTGTTGGGACAGCCTGAGTATGAGACACAAAGTCAGGAGAAAATCAGGGACCATGACAGAACTGTTTCTGCTTATTGGCATCTTTGAGGAATGAACTTTGACCTGACCTGACACAGTGACAGCCCTCATTGGAAGAGGTGGTAATCTAAGGACACAAGTTAGAACTGACCAAAGTTAAAATAATACTAGAATTGAATATTTCAAAAACTGGAATAAATTAACATAAAAAATTAAATGAAAAATTTTCATAGCCAGAACTGTTGCACATCCAAGTACAGTTTGGCTTCTTTTTTAGATCTTGTCAAAATATTAATAAATTTTAGCATCATTTTGTATATGTGAAAGAAATGAAAATGAAGTTAAAATAAGAATAGTTTAAATCAGAGGTCACACTTGATTTAAGAAATGATAATTTTTTTTAAAAAAAGAGATGATAATTTCCTGAATCGTGAAAAATACTATCTATAAACTGCATCTGGGTACTCTAAAATATATTTAATTTACCTAAAACATGTTAAATATCCACCCAATTGTGTTTTGTATGTTATCATGTATGTGTGTTTGAGACTATTTAAAAAATATTTTGTGTTCTGACTTGATAGAAATATTTATTTTATTCTTGCATTAATTTTTGAAATCAAGTTCTTTAATCATGTGTTAACCAAAGACTATATTCTAATTTAACACCAAAAATATCAGGAGGTACCACATGCTTAGAATATATGGTAGTAAATAAAAGTCAGCAGTTTGGATATTCCATGAATATAAAGAAATAAAACAGATATTTGGTTATTTCTGATACTATAAGTAAAATATTAAGTTTTCTCTACATTGTATTAAGCTACAATGTAGTTTCCTTTAATATTAAGTAGAGTTAAGAAATACTGAAATAGCAAACTAAGCTTTCTACAGATATTCCTTCTAGTATTGGAAATAATATTTTTGTTCTAAAAAAGCAAATATTTCTATAGAACAAAGAAATAAACTACTTCTTAGTATTCAGTTGACTTAAGTATGATAAGAAATCTATGATGAAAGGCAGTGAAGATTAAATGGCTCACTGTCTGTCAGTGTGGTAGAATTGCCTTTGCTTACCTCCAAAATAGTAAGTATCTCCTGAATGATTCCACACAGACACCAGAGTTTGAGCAGAGAAGTTGTCATCTACCACAAGGCTTAGATGGCTCCCCTTAGCAGACAAGAAAACTGAGTGCCACAGCCCATCATTCATTACAGCACCTAGAAATACAACTAATTACAGACAACTAAATTTTGGAAAGTGTAGTCACTTATTCAGACCACTCAATAAGTAAGAGAAAAGCATGTTTTATGTGCAGATAGATTACTGAGGAAAACAAATTAGCCATTTTTCTGCAATGAGATGAATTAACTTATTATGACAACACCTGAGGAAACACTGCTACCTCTAAAGAATCCTTGCAGAAAATGATGATAATACACTTAAAGCCTCACCTTAAATTTAATTATACATACATACATATATATTTATATATATATATGTGTGTGTGTGGGTGTGTGTGCGCGCGCACACGCGCGAGTGCATGCACACACGCGGGCACGCATATGTTAAAAGTCTTTACCAATGGAGTTTAAAATGCACTTTAGTTCAGTCCTCAAATGCAAAATTTACTGGCATCAGTGAATCTAAGAAAAATAAATTACTTTGAAGAGTTAGAAGAATGAATTTAAAAACTTGAGACAAGGGCAATTGTGAAGGGTTTTGAATGGGAGAGAAAGGTCACTGAGCTCCTCATGGTGGGGGGAGGGTGGAATAGCATTCAGGCAAGCACTGTGCCTTTCACCAAAAAAGCTATTTCATGGCTGTTAATTACAGAAAACTGACAGAAGGGCAAAGTGATTTTTGTCCACATAAATGAAAATTATTATCCCTGTTAAGACACAATTGGTTGTGTTTGCTTCGGCAGCACATATACTAAAATTGGAAAGATACAGGGAAGATTGGCATGCCCCCTGTGCAAGGATGACACGCAAACTCGTAAAGCATTCCATATTTTTAAATATGGGACACTGTGAAAACACCAAACCTAAGGATAATAGTTATAGAAGAAGCTGAAGAAACCTAATTCAAAGATGCAGAAAACATATTCAACAAAATCATAGAAGAAAACTTTGCCAACCTAAAGAGAGACATACCAATGAAAGTAAAGAAGCCTACAGAACACCAAATAGAGTGGACCACAAAAGAAAGTCCCCTCATCACATAATAATTAAAACACCAAACTTACAGAATAAAGAAAAATATTAAGAGCAACAAGGGAAAAAGGCCAAGTAACATATAAAGGCAAACCTATCAGAATTACACCAGATTTCTCCATGGAGACTCTGAAAGCCAGAATGACCTGGATAGATATTCTACCAACTCTGAGAGAACAGAGATGCTAGCCCAGACTACTTTACCCAGCAAAGCTTTCAGTCACTACAAATGGAGAAAACAAGATATTCCACAACAAAACCAGATTTAAACAATATGTAACCACTAATCCAGCCCTACAGAAAGTACTGGAAGGAAAACTCCAACCTAAGGAAATTAACTACACTCACATAAACATAGGCAATAGATAATCCCACTCTACAAAAACACAAGATAAAAGGCAGGGTAAACCCACATACAACTACCAACAACAAATCAAAAACAAACAAGAATAAACACTCAATGGACCTTAATTTCCCTCAATATTAACGGTCTTAACTCACCTATAAAATGACACAGGCTAAGAGACTGGATATGAAGACAGAATCCATCCTTCTGCTGCATACAAGAAACACACAAGACAGACATTACCTCAGAGTAAAGGGCTGGGAAAAGATATTCCAATCAAATGGACCCAAGAAATGAACTGGGGTAGCTATCCTAGTATCTAACAAGTTAGACTTCAAACTAAAATCAATCAAAAGAGATGAAGAAGGTCATTTCATATTCATCATAGGAAAAATCCATCATGAAGAAGTCTTAATTCTAAACACCTATGCCCCAAATATAAAGGCATCAGCATTTGTAAAAGAAACATTACTAAAACTCAAAACACAAATAAGTCCTCACACAGTTATAGTGGGAGGCTTCAACAACCCCACTCTCACCACTGGACAGGACCACCAGACAGAAACTTAACAAA